AAAGATTTAATATCAATTTTTTAAGATAAATTTGGACTTCAACATTTAATGACGAAAACTACTGACTTTTTTAAAAATTATCATAAAAGATATATAATCAATCATTAAATACAATGAAAACAAATAATTGTCACATTTATAAATGTTTTGTGATGTTATACGTAACGTCATTTATAAATTTGGTCATTAATTGATAAATTTGTTGTAGTGGTATATGTTTTCATATTTAATTTTTCGCTTCATGATCGATTAAATTTAGGCTAAAATACACAAATGGTCATCCGACTATAGAGTATTGTTTTGTTGAGTTCCTCGACTATTAAAAGTTATAAAATGACCACTCAACTATTCATATGTTCTAACTCATCATTTTTCGTTAAAAAATCGACAGTCGTCTGAGCTATATGTCAACCTGCTGAATGTGATGTGATAAAATCATATTTTAATGATGTTTATTGATGTCGTTGTTGCTTTCAAGCACTGACTCAAATGCATAATGTTTCAAGCACTAGCTCAACGACATAATATAAGTGGAGAGTCGATTCACAAAATACAACTCAAACGGTTCTGAAATCAAATTTTATCATATTCCAGTCAATATGTTAACGTCAAACTCAGACGACCACAACTTTTTTAATAAAAAGGATGAGTTTGAAACATATGAATTGTCAGGTGACCATTTTGTGACTTTTAATGGTCGAGTGACTCAACAAAACAACATCCTATAATTGAGGGATCATTTTATAATTTTTAATAATCAATAGATTTAACAAAATAATATCTTATAGTCGAGGGATCATTTGTATATTTTACCCTTAAAATTTAAATATATGTTTTAAAATGTGGACTTATCGAATGGTCAATAGAACAACTCATGAGTTTGCTATGACGATTTTTTGTGTGTGGATAATTTGCTATAATTTAAATATATGTTTTAAAATGTGGACTTATCGAATGGTCAATAGAACAACTCATGAGTTTGCTATGACGATTTTATTAGTTGCAATCTGATTATTTTTAGGGTAAACTATAATTTTAGTATATCAACTATTACTTTTTTCTTTTTGGTCACACAACTATTATTTTTTCAAAATCATGCCTAACGTTACGTTTTGATTTCGTTTTGGTCACCCGTCGTTAAAAAATTAACAAAACTAATGATGTGATCTTTTTTTAATTTTTTCAATGATGATATGGTATTACCTTGTGGTGACATGTCCATATCTCCGTTAATTTTTTAATTGTGAGTGGCCAAATAAAACAAAAACGTAATGTTAGATATGATTTTTAAACAAAAAATAATTGAGTAAGCAAAATGAAAAAAAATGATAGCTGATGTACTAAAAGTATAGTTTACCCTTTTTTATCTCCTCTATGTATTCGTACTTGATTGTGTGGTTGATCTTCAATGGACCTGTTGAGGCTGTGCAATACTAATATATTTGATCTGGTGTTGCAATTTGCAGTCAAGGGTAGAGACTGGGCAGGATTTTTATTGAAAAAGTTAAAGTTTGTCAAGCTAATGTTGGGTTTTAAGTTGACACATAGATTAGGTTTTTGTCACATTAATAACAGGGATTTAAAGGGGCAATTCCTTCCATGATTAAGATTTAAAACACAATCCCTGATTGGTCAGCCTTAATGACCTGCATTTCTCATTGCTTTTTACCCAAGAAAACAAACCACCATAATGGCCTCCATTACTAGAATGGCCAAGCAAGAATCATGGAAGAGAGACATCAAAATTGTAATCTTTATATATTGTTTCATTAATTACTATTAGGATAGAGTACACGTTTAATACTCAATTATCATTTTTATTTTATTTTGATCATTCATCATTAAAAAAATAATAAAATTATTGATGTGATATATATATATATATTAATGATTACTTGAAATTATCTTATGATGAAATATTAGTATCATTATTAATTTTTTAACGGTAGGAGACCAAAATAAAAATAAAACTAAATATTATGTATATTTTTTTAAAAAATAATTAGGTAACCGAACCGAAACAAAAATGATAGTTAGGATATTATGTAGTTTACCCTTACTATTATTATACCTCCTTCAAATTTTCTTATAAAAGTTACACTTTTTTGTCATTTTTTTCGTTTATCAAGTGTATAAATTTTTTGAGTTTCTTGAAATCTTTGAAATTCTTTGAAACCTTTAAAGTTTTATATATCTTGGCTTGCTATTAATTTTCATAACTCTATATACTCCGAAAAATAACTATATCCTCAATATGACTTTAATTATTTATGTGATTTGTCAGAGTTAAATATATTATTTAACAACATACCTATATAATCCGACGACCTATAAATAATTAGCGTGACCTAAATCTGACACCAATATTAAAAGTTACTATAAAATTTATTTAATGATTAAGAGAATTATATGGAACTATTGTATTCACTATTCACTCCTTTATCTCATCAAAAAGATATTTGAATAGTCATCATAATCATCGATTATTATTCTCAATCTAAATTAAAAAAAGGAATAAACGCTTACAACCGCATTAATCACTTTATTTTCATCTGTCGGAACCGTCTTTCGGTTGGGCCCGGAATTGGGCTCGACTTGAAATAAACGAATTGGAGTCGTCATCGACCACTTTAAAACGATATTAGGTGGGTCGACACCATCTTACATGATCTGCGTTGTACCAGAAACGCGTTGGGTTCGGGAGTCGGTTACGGTCAAGGAAGGATTAGCACCCTTGAACCGCCCTTTCGGTACCAATTAATTTATAGATTGTCTTTTATTGCGGAAATTTAAATTTAAAATTTAAAATATTCGATTCGATTTACTTACCTTTGATCGGTTGAAGTTACTACTGGAAAATAAAAATGTTAGATGGTAAATATAAAAATATCGAATAAAATTAATTAAGTAAAAAAAATGAAAAGTATATTAAATTTTAAAAGGGAAAATGGTTGAAAAACAGACAAAATAAAAGGAGAAAATACCATAAATATATATATATATATATATATATATATATATATATATATATAATAATGGAAATGACAATACCAATAAAAAATATAAACAAGGTTGAGTTGTGAAGGGAAAAATGTTAGGAAAATAAAATAAGAAAAAAAATTAAAAAAGTAAATAAATAAATAGATAAGGGGCCAAAATGAATCGAATTGGACTTTGTGAACCGAAATTGATACTAAAGACCAAACTGCAAAAAAAAAAATTTGAGGGTTAATTTGCAAAGCATAGATAGTGACTAAATTGAATGAATTGAGAATCCAAAGGTGAAATTACAAAAGATGACCAGATTGTAATGCGACTCAAAACAACGGGGACTGCAGAGAGAATTTAAGAATCTCCTATTTACAAATCGGTCATCGGTACATAAATACCCAAAAAGCCCCATTTCACTCGGAATAACATTTTCTCTCAAATTCCTTCTCTCAGCCGAGAGAATGCTCTCAAACCTCTCCCTTGGGCGATTTCCGGCCACCTGCCGCCGCCGTGAGCGGCAGCCGAAAAAAACCGAAACCCCTCTAGATACTCCTATCCACCCCGTAAACCCAAAATCGAACCCCAAATCCACTAAAAAAACTCAAAATTGTAGACTACCCTTACAGTTTCGACCTTTACCCTTTAAAATCGGCGTCTCGACTCTTATGCTCCCGGTGACCCTTCGTGGCTGATGTTTTGGTTTTTTCGTTGTGTATTGGCTTGCTTTATTTTATGTGTTGTTTGTTTCGAGTTTGCTCCCAGTTCCCTATGTTTTTTTTTTTCTGTCTTTGTGCTGTTGATGGTTCATGTTTTGCTTGTGATCGTGTTTGGCTTTGATGACGTTTAATGTGCTCTCGGTTTACTCTCTCGATGTTGATGGCTTCCAGGGTTCTCTCGTTAATGGCCGTGGTTTGATACTGTCGGAGGTGTTCCCCCTTTGGCGGTGTTCTGGTTGGTATTTATAGGCCTTCACCGGTCGTTGTGGTCCCGAAATAGGGGCGCTCGTGACCGGTCACCCCGGGATGGGTCAGTCCCAGGGATCTCGGCCGTCGTTGGCACTGTTGCCCGTCTGTTTCGCGTGGCTCTTGGTTGCCCGGGTCGTACGGCCCTTGGTTGAAACTGGATATGAAACCTAACATGTTGCTGGGCTGGTTCAGGCCCAGTCTTCGTTTTTGGACCCTGACCAAAAAAAATAAAATAAATTAAATTAATAAAATGAAATGAAATAAATATTAATAATAATATATATTATATAATATATATGTTTCAAAAAAATATTTTTAAACTATATATTATATTTAAAAACGTTTTCAAAATTATATATTATATAATTTTCAAAGATAATTTTAAAAATATTATATAAGTTTTCCAAAATGTTTTGTTAAAACTATATATTATATAAATTTTCCAAAAAATGTTTTTAAAAATTATATATTATATTTTCAAAATGATTTCAAAACTATACACTATATAATTTTCAAAATGTTTTAAAACTTATATATTGTACATAAGTTTTCAAAAACGTTTTAAAAAACTATATAATATATATTTCAAAAAATATATTTTTAAAAACATTTTCAAAAATTATACTATATTACTATAATAAAAATAAATAAATAAAAAGTCCAAATTCATACGAAAATGAATGTATACTCCATCGACCCTTAAATTTTTTAACCAAATTTCTTTCTTTACTATCTTATTGTATAATTATGATCTCAAAACATTAGAATGTAAAAGTACCAATAAATGGTGGTTAAATATGTTTAAGCAAAAGGAGGACTAAAAAAGAGTTTAATGAGGATGGACATGGTGAGATTTGGGTAAGTAGAAGGTGACAGAATGGACATCCGCCCGGAAATACAGGGAGCCGTACAGGAACACCCTGAGCTATCATTCACTTTTTTTATTTTTAAAAATTATACATAATTAGTGGTACTATATATGTAAGTATATATATATATATATTAGAGAGAAGGAGAGGGGTTAAATTAAAACCCCACTTAATAAAAGCTCTTTCTTTCACCCTTTCTGCCACACATCACTCTCATCAGTGGCAGCAGCATTAGTTGCAGGCTCGCAGCACTGCTACTGCTCACCTTGCAGTTAAGAACACCCTACCAAATATATATGTATATAAAGACACCTTTTTTTCTATAATATATACATATCTACTTATTTATAAAGTTTTGTTTTTTTAATTGTGTTTTTTTTCCAATTAATTAAAGGTAATAAAAGCTTGATTTGATATCTTGGACAAAAAAGACTAACACCACATCACCCGTCTCGTTAATAAAAATTGTGTTTTTTGAGGTCTTGACTTAATTTCCTTTTTTCCCCCTTTAACTTTTGCAATGCCAACAAACCATTGCTTTTAGCTCTAAAAATGCAGTCATGAATGAAATACCCTCTTCTTCACATCTCACTACTTAGCTTTTCCAGAAAAACCATTTCTTTCCAAGTTTTTTGTGTGTGGAATATCCAATGGGGGAATTAATCGATCTGAACACTATGGAAGACAATGAAACGCCATCATCTGGTTCTTTATCTCCATCTTCTTCTTCAGCTTCCGGGTTAAGTTCTCCTGGTTCTGCGTCTGGTTCGGGTTCTTCAGTTTGTTTAGAGCTTTGGCATGCGTGTGCTGGTCCACTTATATTTTTGCCGAAGAGAGGAAATGTAGTGGTGTATTTCCCTCAGGGACACTTTGAACAAGTTTCCGATTCTCCCGGTGTAGTTGCAGCTTATGATCTCCCTGCCCATGTGTTTTGTCGGGTTGTTGATGTCAAGCTCCTTGTAAGCTACCAAACTCTCACTCTATTTTGTGTGTTCTATATATTGTATTTCTCTAATCAGATTTTTTGTTTTGGAAAATTCTTATTTTTTATTTTTTGGGGTTTCTGGGTTTATATATGTGATAAGTATTTTAAAAGGGAGACCTTTGAAGTATGGATTTTTATTTTGAGAAAATGACTTGTGGTTTTATGGGTTTAGCCCCTTAATTTCTTCCCTGGGTTTGATTTAGTTTTCCAGAAAATTGACCTTGTAAAGTTGGTTTTACCAATAGGAAATTGGGTGTTTCAGGTATTTGAATTTCACCCTATTTTCCTATATATTTGTTTGGGGCAAAGGAGATTGCTCTGTGTTCTTCTTAAAATGTGAATTTGCTATGAAATGCTTGTTTTTGTTTGCAGGCTGAGGGTGCCACAGATGAGGTTTACGCCCAAGTGTCACTGATTCCTGAAGCTGAGGTGGGTTTTATTCTATATAACCAGTTTGATCCATAGGACAATGACATCATTCTGAACCAGTAATATAGTCCAATGATGAATTGAATTCTGTTCCTAAATCTGGTGTCATTTTGTTGGTTAATGTTGTTTCTTCTCGTTTCGTTTTCATCTCGAGTCTGATTTTGGGTAAATTGTGCCGAATGTAGCAATATGAGCAGAAATTTCGAGGAGGGAAGACACAGACAGATGGTAAAGAGGAGGATACCGAAGCCAATATCAAGTCAACAACGCCCCATATGTTCTGCAAGACACTTACTGCTTCTGATACCAGCACACATGGAGGCTTCTCTGTTCCTCGCCGAGCCGCCGAGGACTGCTTCCCTCCCTTGGTAATTTTCTTGCACTTTTCTCGTTATTTCATTTTAAACTTCTCATTGTTTTTTCTATGTATTTTTCTTGTATAACAATTAGTTATATTTTCCTAAATCAATCTTTGGTGTAGCTTTTTGAGTTTAACTAGATTGGTATTGTAGGATTATAATCAGCAAAGGCCATCACAAGAGCTTCTTGCGAAAGACCTGCATGGTTCGGAATGGAGATTTCGACACATCTATAGGGGTATGCAGTAGTTATCAGATGCATTTTAATGTTAAAGTTATACTAGTTTTGGATATGTGGATCAGCCTTGATTAGCTTTTCATTTCTCTATTTATTGCTAAAGATAGTTTCGGTTTGAGTAGGGCAACCACGGAGGCATCTACTCACTTCGGGATGGAGTGCTTTCGTGAATAAGAAGAAGCTCATCTCTGGAGATGCGGTGCTTTTTCTGAGGTTAGAAATCTCCCCTTTTATGAAATTTTAGTTAATAATCCGATAGGAAATCTTATTTAGTGTTCATAACAGGGGCGAGGATGGAGAACTCAGACTGGGAATTCGAAGAGCTGCTCAAATTAAAAATTTCTCTTCTTTCCCATCTTTGTGCTGCCAGCAGTTGAACTGCAACACTTTTGCAGACGTGGTCCATGCTATTTCTATGAGAAGTGTATTCAGCATTTGCTATAATCCGAGGTATGTGGCTGCCCCATATTTATATTATAAAGGCTATATTTGTTTTTAGCTCTATTTATGCAGCTATGCATACTTTGATATTCACATAGAGACTCGGTTTGAACTTTGAAGTGGTTTGTTGGGCTGGCATTTTCACTTATCTGAATATTATGTTCACTTAAAAGTCTGAAAGACAATGTACCTTATTCGGACATCCTTTTGATATGTCGAAATAATGCATGTCTTAAAAATTTTAAGAAGTTATCTTTAGACGTTAGTGCCATATATACAAACTGATGTTACTATTGGATAATCTTCTTGTATTCTATAATTTGTATGTCCTAGTTTTTCTCTGGATCTTTCTCTATGGCCACTTTCTTGATGAGATCTTAAAACTATTTATTTTGGTTGGTGTAGTAGGGCAAGTTCATCGGATTTTGTAATACCCGTGCATAAATTTTTGAATAGTCTTGATTTTTCTTTCTCTATTGGAATGAGGTTCAAAATGCGATTTGAAGGTGAAGATGCAGAAAGAAGGTATGACCTGATAGAACCTGCAACTATTCAGTTAAATTACTTGATTTTTAGCCTTAAGCGGGGAGGAAAGATCTACTCTACCATGCTTTATCGAGGCCTTGAATTTATTTCATGTTTTTCTGCAGACACTCCGGAGTTGTAACTAGAATTAGTGATGTGGATCCTGTTCGATGGCCTGGTTCAAAATGGCGATGTCTGCTGGTATGACTGAATTTATATATACATGTGTGTATTCATGATAAAATGTTTGCATGCCTTTAAGTTTTAAACGTATACTATTGTCATAATAATGTTCCTGTCAAGGCCTAACATTAAGATTATTAATAGCTAAATGGGGTATCTTTTAACCTTTTACAATAGTAATTACTATTTATAATTCTCATAGCATTTTTTTTTATCTTTTTTCTCTATCCATCCAAGTTAAGTCGATAGATCTCAAAGGAAATGGTTGCCGGGCTAATTATTGGTTTTATCGAATAACTCTCACAGACTTGTGGCTTCTTGCTCATTATTCGAAGTAGTCTGTTAGTGTACCCTACAGAGTAGTCAGCATACTATGCTATTAGTTGCATCTCGTTTTCCCATCCCTAGACTAGGCCTTGACCTGTATGAACATGGCAAAGAATGGCCTTGTTTGGTGCTCCTTGCAGTATTTTTTTGATAGAAGTGTTCCTAGCTGTTTTAATTGGGTATTGCTGATGACTCTTACTCAGCCACCAGTTATTTAGGTTAAGCATATTCCTGCTAAAATGAAATATAATGTATGAACTCCATGTGTTATTTAGCTCGAAAATCGCTCCATTATAATTTTATCAGAAGTTACTAGAGTGAATGCAATAGTTCCTTCTGGCTCTTTTTGCAGGTAAGGTGGGACGATATCGATGCCAACAGGCATAGCAGGGTTTCTCCCTGGGAAATCGAGCCTTCTGGTTCAGTTTCTAATTCCGATGACTCGCCCGCTCCCGGTTCGAAAAGGAACCGGGTAGGAAAATCTGAATTTATGGTTCCTGGTAGGTTGTTATGCAGGACTAATTCTCTTTCCTGTATCACATGACAGTGCTTGGCTTAGTTCATTCTTTTAACAGATGGAATTGGAGTATCCAACTTTAAGGAGTCTTTGTGGTCCCAGCAGGTCTTGCAAGTTCAAGAAAATTCTGGTTTTAACACTCTTTATGATGCTTCTGATAGTCGGAATATGCATCAGTCTGAAACTAGGCGTTGCAGTCCTGGTTCTTTTGATTCTAGTTTTGGTGCAGTAGGAAATGTTGGTGGGGACCCACTGGCGAGTCCTGATATTTCCTTTAAAAATGTAGGCTTTGGGGAATCTTTCCGATTCCATAAGGTCTTGCAAGGTCAAGAAATTTTTGCAACTCGATGTCTAAAAGGTTCAGCTGCAGATGAGACTCCAGAAAATGGCAGTCTTGGTCTCCCTGATGCTGGTCGGTTGTTGGGAGCTAGAAGTGGATGGTCTTCCACGATTCAGGGGTATAATCCTCATAGTCGTATACGGCAGTCTGTGCCATCTGCACAAGCGTCCTCACCGTCTTCAGTGTTAATGTTCCAACAAATAAGAAAGTTATTTCCATCAACTGGTGAACATGATTCCCGTGGGAGGTATCTTGGAAGCTCGGATCCATTCGGTCATTCAATTGATTCTGTTCAGTTCAGTGATACTCTACCTCTAGCAGGTCAACCAGCATTTAAGACAAGTCAAGAATTAGATTCCTCCTATAGAAGTAGCTGCAGACTGTTCGGTTTCTCCTTGACCGAGGGAAGACGTGACGCTAACAAGGAAGAAAACATGGTGCAAGCAACTTTATCATTGGCTCCCGGTGTTTTTGTACCTTGTGTTGGAGAACAGTTTCACCCAAATTCTCCATCAACGACGAATACAGTGGGAAGCAATTGTACCAAAGCTAGTAACCTCTATGCTGTCAGAGATATGGCCTTTGATATTGCATCGTAATGTAGCCATGGAAGTGCTGGTCTGGAGTTCTGTTGACAGGGTCTCGAAAGATTGATGAATACGATACAGCGGTGCAATCGGAATAGCTATAACTTTACTAGGACTGCTTATCATGGGGGAGAAAGGATTAAAACTTCTTCAGGATGATTATTCACCTGGTGTTAGGAGATTAAACACTGAAGTTTTAATTTTCTATTAACAATAATATATTGTTGTTTCGGAGCATTTTACTTGTCCAAAACCTTGAAGTATTCTGGAGTGTTTACATTGTTGATATAGAAATATTATTCCAGTTTCACACAACTTGGAGAGTAGTTTGGCTTGAAAAAATGTTGCATTCTTGTGGTATGCTATATGTATAACTTGAAGGACATCCCTGCTGAGTGTGATTACTGCTATTAAAATAGACTACATTTCGAGTTTTAACTCGTTAGAGTTAATCTGATACACACACACGCGTATACTGATGAAGATGCTGCAGGAGCTAGCAGCCGATGTTGAGCAAGAAGATGCCTGTATTTGCTGAAGTTGCTTGTGTATTCTTTATGCACGTATGATATATTATTCGAACCGGATATAAATTTTTACTCGTCCACACACCAAATAGCCTCAGGAACACCTTCGATGATGATTCCTTCACACACCAAGGATCACGCCAAAACAACACTTTCGATCCATTACCAACCTTTCTAAGATCAACATGGCAGTTCTATGAAACCCGATACATTATCAACCTCAAAGTTATTGACGATCTACTTCCACTTGTACAGCATCGTACTCTTCTGTTTGAACTAATATCATACTTCGATACAATCCGCCGACGCAAAATGACGACGACTCAATTTCATATTCCCAAGCTTTCTTAGCCATCAATGTTTTCGTCCCGAATACACATTCTCATTTGCCAGCCAACCCCACACCACAGTTCATCTTTCTCTCTCTTGGTACCACACCTCAATCGTTTATTGTTGATATTATTACATCAATGTAATAGATAATTATGTCAATATCATTAATAATTACGTCAACACAATAACAATCAATATTAGTTGAAGAATTAAATCAATTTAATTCTTAAACTTGAGGATCAAATTTACTAAATTAATTTCATTAGTACTAAAGTCATAAAGTAGAATGAACTCTTATATAAAAATAAAAGAAAAAGGAAAAATCCGTAAAGCAGCTTTATTACCACGCAGTCGTTTAGAGTATTAGAGATTAAGTTGTTTGAAAAGACTAAAACACCCATATACCACATTTACATTAATAAAAGAAACCGCGTATATCAGCGTAAATTAACGCCTTCTCACCGCCTTTATATATATATATATAAAAGAACAAATGGCCAGAAGCCAGATAAGTTTCCTTGCTCTTTTTCCCTCCCCAATTTTAAACCTTTCTGTGGAGTGGAAAACCCAACAAAACGTTGCAAAAACAATCTAAAAAACTCTAAAACTAAAATCAATGGAAAAGAAAAAGCGGAAGAGCAATTAGAGAGGAAGTTAAGTGAACCACGGAGGATCTAAGGAAAAGATGATGAAATTTTTCGGTAGAGGAAAAGACTCCGCCTTTGACGTGTCGCCGCAGTCGTATGGTCATTCGGCGTCTGCATCGGCGTCGGGGCCTCCGGTGACCGGTCCCGCAAGGCTGGTTCGGTTATTATACTGTGACGAGAATGGGAGGTTCAGGATGGATTCGGAAGCGGTCGCGGCTTTGCAGCTTGTTAAGGAACCAATTGGAGTCGTTTCGGTTTGTGGCCGGGCTCGTCAAGGCAAGAGCTTCATTTTGAATCAGGTAATTTTGTTTCTTTTTTATGTTTTACTTGTTTTGAAGATAAATTGGAGGAAATATTTGTTCTTTAGGTGTTTCCATAGGCGAAATAAACGAATTCTATGGTTTGTGACTTTAGGAGTAGAAATGTTGCAAATTTAGGGTTTTAAGGGAACCAAGTGTATAATGTAGAGCATTTTGGTATACGTTTGCTGTTTGTAGAAACCTTCATTGATTATATTCATAAGGGAAAACTATCAACATCAAATTTAAGTTTCCAGAAGTGCATTTGAGTTTAGATAAATAAACCTAACGAGGTTGAGTACTAATGTATGCTTGCTAGAAACAACTTAGGTAGAGGCAATTATATATAAGAGAGAATGAGTAAAGAGAAACTCATATAAGTGTCCAATGCGAACATATTATATCCATGCATGGGTTTCATGCGAATATTATTATAAAACTTATTTGAATGAACCAAGTCTGACTAGCTGTATATCCTTTTTGAGAGACCGAGATTTAAGATGGATTATCTTGTATCCTTTTGTTCTTAATTTTGTAAAGCTTTGGTTGCTGAGTTATGGTTGGTATCACCATTAAATGTTATGTACTTGTAAATATTTTCCCCAATTGATGTTTGTTTGATATATCTATTTATCTGCATTTAATTTCAATTTTTGTGCTATAGCTTCTTGGAAGGAGTAGTGGATTTCAAGTAGCACCAACTCATCGTCCGTGTACAAAAGGCCTTTGGTTGTGGAGCGCACCATTGAAGAGAAGTGCTCTTGACGGAACTGAATACAACCTTTTGCTATTAGATTCTGAAGGAATAGATGCCTATGATCAAACGGTTTGTTTTCTCTTATTTTTTGTGTGGCAATGGATTGGTTATTAGGATACATTGGTTACTTTGACTCATGCTCTTATCTTGCAAACTTGACAGGGAACGTACAGCACTCAAATATTTTCATTAGCCGTCCTTTTATCTAGCATGTTCATTTACAACCAGGTTTGTACTTTTTAATAAAATAAAATAATATCTAGGCTTTTTTATTTTTGATTTGTTTGTTATTGTTCACGTATTCCCCAAGTTTTGACTGTCTACTTCTGATATTTAGATGGGAGGTATAGATGAAGCTGCACTGGATCGTCTCTCTCTTGTCACTCAAATGACGAAACATATACGAGTCAAAGCTGGAGGAAGAACAACCTCAGCTTCTGAACTTGCACAGTTCTCTCCGATCTTTGTTTGGCTTCTAAGGGTAATATTTGATTACAAACAGACACATACACAATCTTTCTTATTGATTTTCACATGTTTAGTTCTTTCTTATGATTATTGTAAGACATGTTTTATTCAAGTTCTCTTTTGTAAAATATTCATCTCGCAGGATTTTTACCTGGATTTGGCGGAAGAAAATAGGAAAATAACTCCCCGTGACTACCTAGAGCTTGCTTTACGGCCAGTTCAAGGAAAGTGGGAAAGATATAGCTTCCAAGAATGAGGTAAGTCTTAACATGGATTTTAATCCGGGAATCAAAAGAAATCAATATTAGTTCTTTAGAGGCTTGATGAAAACTAAACAAAGTGTCTTAATGAGTAATAAGAAAATTTTGTTGCATGGTTAAGCATGCAAATTATGTAATAGACACTGATTATGCATGCTTAACTGTTGATAGATCCGAGACTCTATTCGAGCTTTGTTTCCTGACAGAGAATGCTTTACTCTTGTGAGGCCTTTGAACAATGAAACTGATCTGCAAAGGCTTGATCAAATTTCGGTTAGTATCCAACTGTTTCCATATATTCTATTCCCTCCTCTGATTTCAAATCACCCTTTTTGCTTCCTTTCTCTCCTTCCCTCTCCTACTCCTGATTTTCTTTTTCGTTTAACATGAATTTGTTTATTAAGACCTTAGCTTTTCTATGTAGCTGGAGAGATTGAGGCCTGAATTTCGAGCTGGGCTTGATGCATTGACAAAATTTGTTTTTGAGAGAACAAGGCCGAAGCAGGTTGGGGGTACTGACGGGGCCTGTTCTTATTGGTATTACACAATCATATCTGGATGCTTTGAATAATGGTGCAGTGCCTACAATATCTTCCTCATGGCAGGTTAGTTACTGTTATCTGGAAATGTTATGGGATAAGTCATTTGGTTGAATCAAAGAGTGTTAATAGTGTTATTTTCAGAGTGTTGAAGAAACTGAGTGTCGGAGGGCTTACGATTCTTCTGCGGTGATTTATATGTCAAGTTTTGTCTGTACAAAGTCACCCGAGGAAGTAAGTGATGTTTTTATGATAGTTGTTGTGTGGCTATTTTGATATATTTTTTTACAATGCAAATCTTGATGATCCTAGGTGGCATTGAGGGGGGCTCATGAAGAAGCTATGCAAAGAGCGATGGCCGAGTACAATGCTAGTGCAGAAGGGGTTGGTACAACTAGAAAGAAATATGAGGAGCTTCTACAGAAATTCTTCAGAAAGGCATTTGAGGTATGCAGTAACTTGAAGGCTACATATGTAGGTTTAGTCTATTTTTCTATGCTATCCAAATGCATTGTTTGCTTTGAATTATGAGATTGGTCATTTATGCAGGACTATAAAAGGAATGCGTTTATGGAAGCGGATTTGCGATGTTCAAATGCCATAGAAAACATGGGAAAGAGGTTGAGAGCAGCATGTCATGCTTCTGATGCAAGTATCGATAATGTTGTGAAGTTAAGTGGTCATTATCTACTTGTCCTTATTCTTCATGCAGAGGACTGCAACCTAGTTGTGCTACTTTGTTTCTTCTCATTAACTACCGATTGAGATGATATTCCTGATTTAAATTTTTCATCGTTGATATTGTAAGGATGAAAGCTAGTTAATCAGCCAATTTAAGTATAGCTATCTGCCTTTGGCTTTCTTTTTTAGTTACTATTTATTACCTTCGTCTTGATCCTACGGAAAGTTGGTTATATGTTATCTATGATAGTATGTGGTATTGTCATTTACCAAAGGATACAACTCACTGGGCTTGATTAGAATGTTATTTGCAGGTTCTTGATGCTCTTCTATCCGAGTATGAAGCATCATGTCATGGCCCTGGAAAATGGCAGAAACTGGCTGTATTTTTACAGCAAAGGTTTGTACCAATATTTTTATTTATTTTCATTAAGATGGTTGTATCAAGTATTCCGGGGCTTAAGAGGGGCCAGTGCTGGATTTAACCAAGAGGCTTATAGATCAGATCGGATCAGAGAAGAGTTCCCTTATATTGAAATGCTGTTCGATTGAGGATAAGATGAAGTTACCCAGCAAGCAACTGGAGGATAGTGAGAAATACAAGTCTGAATATCTGAAGCGATACGATGATGCTATCAATGACAAAAAGAAACTTGCTGATGAATATGCTAGCCGTATGAATAATTTGCAAGGTGATAACAGTTCACTGAAAGAGAGATGTTCTAGTTTAACAAAAGCACTAGATTCTGCCAAGCAAGAAACGTTAGACTGGAGAAGAAAACATGATCAGGTGTTATCAAAGCA